TCCATCCAAATATGAAGAAGTCTAATTCCATCACCCTGTTTGTCCCTCCAGTTGTACCTGGGTGGCCCAACCCTCCTCTGTCCTTTCCAGTTCCTCCAAGAGGACTTACTGTCAAGTTAAATGTCACTTGTCATTGAAACAGTATCAAACTCTTCTCTCAGTTAACTGGAAAAGCTCCTCTTCAGCTCCTCCTTCAACAAGCACCCTCTGTGCAGCTCCACTGGCGTTTGCATCACCACCAGCCCACTGGTGTGGGGACCTATATGGCCTGTCTTTCCAAAAGAAGGTGCTAGTGTACTGTGCGAGTACTGCAAAATACCCATGGACAATACTCATCACAGTGGTCCTCCCTGATTCTCAGGAAATATGGTCCAAGATCCCCCCAGTAGATGCCTAAAGCCACTGCTGGTACCAGACCCCCTATATATGCAATATACAAGCACTCTAGTACCATGACAAGTGACCCCATAACAAGACTAAGTGACTACCAAGTGGTTAACTGGAGCCTAGCACAGACAGTGTGGATGCATGGAACAAAGAGTTGATTGACATCCTGGGTGGGGAACTGTAAGATTTCATCATACTGCCCCAAACAGTATGCAATTTAAAACTTAAGAATTATTTATTTCTGGAATTTTCCCTTTAATATTTGGGGTTGCAGATGACTGGAAGAACTGAATTGGTGGGGAGGGTGGGTCCTGGGGATTGAACCCAGAGGTGATTAACTACTGAACCACATCCTTGGCCCTATTTATTTATTTATTCATTCATTTATATTTTGAGGCAAGGTCTCACTAAGTTGCTTAGGGCCTCACTAAGTTCCTGAAGCTGGCTTTGAACATTCAGTCCTCCTGCCACAGCTCCCAAGTTGCTGGGATTACTGGTATGCACCATCACACCCAGCAAAACTGAAGTCTTGGATAAGGAGGACTATTTAATCTTTTTCAATTGTAAGATAATAATAATTACAGTAGGTGAGTTGTTGTAAGAATTAGAAAGCACATGTCCAGTTCCTCCACACAGTGTCTGGGGTATGACAGCCAAAAGACATTTGAACTGGGATGTTTATTAGGCACCTCAAATTTAAAATGGCCAAGAATAAAACTCTTCATGCCTCCATTATGAACACCATCCCTAGTGTCTGGCACCCTGCTCTCTCTCTGATACCCTGCCTCCTTCCCATCTCCCCAGTCTGTCATCCCCACTGTGCTCCAAATCCCGGTTTCCAGATTCCTCATCAACCCACTCCTGCAACTCTTCCTTCCTTGCTATGGACCTTATGCCGCCTCAGAAACATACTGGAACTGCTCCCAGGACTTGATGGGGTTCTACTTCCAGTTAGTTGGGTCATGGCCTAAAAGGCACTTATGGAAAGGCCTTCCCTGAGCAGTCTCAGATCACCAGTGTTAATTGCTCTGTTTTGAATCTAAGTAGCACCCATCAGTGCTGTTTTGTGTGTCTGTCTCTCCTGCTAGACTTTACTGATTTTGTCTTATTTGCCACCACCTTTCTGTAACTCAGAATTGTACCTGGCATGTGAAACACAATGGTGTGTCTCAGATAATACCTGTTTACAAAGTGAATGCATTGAATGAAAAATTGTAGCTTTCGTTCTTACTCAAATTGGAGAGTGTTTGCTTGAATTAACATATCATTTATAATATACTTACATGTATGTATCTTATGGGTTGAATAAGGATTGAAAGTTAAAAATTAATTTAGGAAATTTGACAGTAACTCCTGATATATGGACCCTAAAATCTGGTGATTGTTATATTCCTTCCCCACTGGAAGACTGATAAGGAGGTACCTGACTTGTGGAAGCTGAAGGAAGCCACTGATGGATATCAAAGTAGGACCTCATCCCTCTCAAGTCTTGTGTACCTTCACAAGTTCTACTTGATGTATCACAACTGTCCTGTCTGATGAACTTAATTAAGAAATGAGTTGAGTTCCTGCCCAGAACAATATGAATGAAAAGTTCTGTTCCTTTTTGGATGACTTGTGAAGCCCACCCCTGGTCTCACTCCACAGTCTATACATTGAGGAATGCAGATGATAGTTCATGGGCTTGTGCATAAACAGGCTCCTGGGGCCTTAGAGACCCCAGACTTATTTTCTAAATTATTGTAATTTCTTTCTCTCAGCCAGGCCTGGTGGCTCCTGCCTGTAATCCCAGCAGGAAGATAGCAAGTTCCAGGCCAGCCTCAGCAATTTAGTGAGACCCTGTTGCAAAGTAAAATAAAAAAGGGCTGGGGTTGTACCACAGTAGAGTGCTCATATGCACAAAGCTCTGGGTTCAGTCCCCAGTAACACACACACACACACACACACACATTAAAAAAAAAAAAAACTGCTTTCTCCGGTGCTGGGCTCTGCCTTTGTGTATCACAGTCTCTTTTTTTTTGAATAGTCCCCACAGACCTAGAAGTCTAAAAGATCCTCCCTACCAAATTACAACTGTGGTCACAAATCCTCAACCTCCTCTCCCACTGTGCAGGAACAGAGCTTCTCAGGGTGTATTACACAGTAGGTTAGGAAATGCTCAGTTCCATGCTCAGGACTCCAAGCAGGAAGCAGTGATATTTAAAAGACTCCACAACAGTACCAGAGGAGGCCGAAGGGACAGAGAACAAGTTCTAACTTTTTGCCTCCCTAGCTCATAAGCCTGTACTGAGAAACAGGGATCTTGGGGATTCTTTTTGGCAAATCAGTTCTTTTCTACATTGGCTCCCATTGATGAGTCCATGGACCCTTTACTGTATGTTGTCATGCAGTTTGTCCTCTGGTCTCTCAAGAAACAAAGGAAAATGAACATATCCTTAGGGAATTCACATTTAAGTAGGAACCAGACAGGACACTGTGGCACTCAGGAATAGTGTGTGTGTCTCCCAGTTGCATTTCCCAGCTCATTTCCACACTCTGGTTGCCAGACCCTGCTTTAGGACTTGGCACACCAAGGCCTCACTACCTTTGCTCCCCACCTGGCCCTCTACATCATCGTAGTAAGTGACACCTCTGCAGAGCCATGAGCCCCGGAGTTGCTCTCGACACCGCCCTCTCCTGTCCCCACTGGAATTCTCAAGTCCATCTTGCTTCCATCTTCACTCTCACCACCCCATCCTAACCACTGTCTCTTTCATTTCTTTGTTGACCTCTCAGTCCTGCTTTGGCTCCTTCAGTGTGTTCTTCACAAATGGTATCGCTTGATACTGATGCCGCTTACACACACACACACACAGTAAGCTCTTTCTTTGGCTTTCTGTTGCCTTCAGTTGGAACCCATCCTTGGTGCAGCCTACAGAGTCCGGTAGGTGTGGCCTCACCTCTTCCTGCCTCCAGCCCTGTCCAGAACAGTGCTCCCATTGTTGGCAGTCCAGCACACTAGGCTTTTTTATTTTAATTTTATTTTTTAAATGATTATCCATAAAATTGACCCTTTTTTGGATACACTCTTCTGTGACTCCTACCACTTGTGCTAATCTTCTTTTAATACCCTGACTGCATCTTGCTCTCACCTCCAGAGTCTGTGTGAACACTTTCCCCTCCACTGGCCCTCACTTCTTAAGCTCCCTTCTCCCTGGAGCTCAGCTCAGTCACCCCTTCCTGAGAGGAAGGTCCTCACTGTACTGTATACTTTCCCTTTACAGCTCTTGGAGAAGTGGTTTAGATTCACTAGTGAGACTCTGATTCTTGTCCACCTTCTTGACTTGACTTAAGGGAAAACTCAATGCTAACAGAGTCACGTGGATTTTTGCTCACTGATTTGTGCCCAAGGCCTAGCTCAGTGCTTGCCATTTCATGGGTGCCCAGTATATGAGTAAGAAATCACCCACAGTTAAGACTATCCCCACCCCCACTCTGTTGCCTGGCTTCAGGGGAGAACTTAGTGTAGTGGGAGGGGCCTAGATTGAAAATCAGGCCTACTTGCTTTGAATTCTTCCTTTGCCTCTTTTGGAAGAACTTATCGTTGATCTACATTTTTTTTACAGGATGATTATAAAATCTGCCTACAGTCTATAAAATTCTACAGTTCAGATTAAATGGTGCAGTCTCTGTGAAAGTATGCTCAGGAAATGATAGCCTGCATTCCACCATCCACCCATGTGGGGGGCGGGAAGACCCTGTGCTAAATAGTGCTATTAGGTTCTTCACAAATGGGATCGCTTAATAGGTATTAGGTCCTTGTTATTAGGTATTAGGTCCTTGTTAAAATCACAAAGTCATAGACAAGTTATAATTCTACTTTGGGACCATGTTCCTATAAACCAAAGCAGAGTCACTCCATTTCTCCAGCACCTCCTGCTTGCTCTCCCGCCTCAGGTTCTGGGGAATCATGTGAGGAGCGGACAGGCCCCGCCCTGGAAGCCCTGGCAGTCCATTGGTGAAACAGGTGAACCAAGAGGCTGAGTGTCTGGCGCTAGCTCAGAGATGCGCTCAGTTCTGTTTCAGTGCCCAGCAGGAGCTGCTGACTGCCCTATGGGGAGCAGTGCTCCCAGAAGTCAGGTGGATCAGAGTGGCCTCCAGATTGCAGCACTGCTTCCAGATCCCTGAAGCCCCTCCCGCCCCAAGCCCCAGCTGTGGAAATGGAGCCAGGAGGTTTTAGGCCAAAGGCTCCCACCGGAGGCAGTAGAGCTCAGTGCCAAATTTCCTTAAAGTGATAGCAAGTTCATAGGGGCCTGTGTCCTCACAGTGTTGGGCAGCATGAGGAGTGTGGAACCGCCAGGACCCACAGATGCTAAGCATCCAGCAGCTGGGGGCAGCCCTCCCCTTGAGGAGGGTCTCACCAAGAAGACCTCTCTAGGTGAAGAGGCAGAACATCCAGCCCCCAACCCCGCCTGCCTCACCAGCAAGGCTGATCTGTAGAAGCAGAGGTGAGAGCAGAGACTAGCAGAGAATCTAAGATGCTGGTCCCATCTGCAAATACAGCCCTGTTCCTCTGGAAGTCTCTGATGATGACCTGACCTTGTTTCCCTCTTTTCCCTTGAACCTTCCTACAGGAGCCTTTCTTCTGGGAGGAATCCTCTACTCCTGGCAGTTTCCTCATTTCAACGCCCTGAGCTGGGGCCTCCGTGAAGACTACTCCCGAGGAGGGTACTGCATGATGTCCGTCACTCACCCAGGCCTGTGCAGGCGCGTGGCGCTGCGCCACTGCCTGGCCTTGACTGGACTGTCGGTGGCCGCCCCGGTCCTGGACATCACTACGTGGACCTTCCCCTTCATCTCCCTCCCCATCAACCTGTACATTGCCTACCTCGGCTTCCGGTTCTACGTGGACGCAGACCGAAAGAGCTCCCGGAAGCTGTTCTTCTGCAGCCTGTGGCACCTGCCCCTCCTCCTGCTGCTCATGCTCACCTGTAAGCGGCGGCCAGGCAGGACAGGGGACAAGGGAGATGCTCAGAGTTGATAACGAGTGGGCATTTGTGGAAGAAACAAAAGTACACAGAGAGACGCACAATTCTCCTCTTGCTGTTAGGCAAGAGTAAGTCTGGAGCGAAGCAGGAGAAGAGAAGTCACTGGTTTTAGTACCAGCTTGTAAAGTGATCTGGTGCTCAGTGATCACTTAACAGTTTTTTAATTATAACATCCAAAAATGCCCTCCACATAAGAAATGGGTTGGCTCAATTAATATAGAGAAAGATTATTTTTCTTTTTGAGGGTCTTTGTACCTCTTTTCCCCCAGCCTCACCACGGTTTCTTCTTCTCCCTCAGAGATGGGGGCATTTTCCTTTTCTAGCTCCTCCCACACACGCACAGACACTCCCCACCTGCTGGCCAGAGTGGCAGTTGGTGGCCAGAGGAGGTGGGCATTCCTAACCTGACCTCTATAATAACGCATCCTCAGGGCCCTGCAGGGGCACCTCAAAGGAAATACCACTGTGGTCATGGCGCTCCCTTCCCCGCGTATGAGCCAAGGCCCCATTCTATTTTCTTTACCTCACGCATACTTTCACCTGCATATGCCATCAAAAAACCCACGGGATAGGCTGCTGTACATCATCAGGAGGAAACTGCCCCTCCTCCCCACCACCACTACCATCCTTACTTATCAGAAACTTCAGGGAATCAAAGGCATCTTTATAGTTTGCCATCGGAAGCACTCCCTTTAGAAGGGTAGTGCTCCATTTAATTCCAGAAATCCCTCTGGCTCTCACCCCATGGCTGTACCTCCTTAGTCCCTGCTGGGGATCACCAGCTCCTCTTTGCTGCACTGCGTTCTGAACGCTGTGTGAGAAAGTAAGGTGGGAAAAGGGTAAGCTGGGCTAATGGCCCACATAGCTCACATTCTTTCCCTTTTTGTGGAACCACATTTCCGTCCTGTACCTGTACCCGTACTGCAGAAATTAGCCTTCACATGTACAATGGCTTTGAGAGCTGACGGGCTCCCAGAGGAGATGGTTCCAATCCTGGGAGTTTTGTGAGTTAACCTGTAGCCAGGTGTGGCCTCAGGTACTAACCACAGTCACCTGTAAATCTTCTGTCCTTCATTTGCTCCCCTGGTTCTCATAGATCCCCAGTTGCTCAAGGTCATGGCCATGGTGGGAAGTTTTAATTACTCAGTCTCCCAGCACACTGTTGCCCTGTAGAAATTCATTCAAGGGGCTAAAGCAGAATTTTAAAAGTCATTACAATATGACTGTTCTCTTGGAAATCACTAGGGCTGGGAATGTAGCTCAGTGGTAGAGCACTTGCTTAGCATCCACCAAGTTCAGGGTTCAAACCCTAACACTGCAAAAACAAAAGAGAAAATGTCTAAAGTGATTGCAAATAGCATCCAATCCCTGTTTCTACTTATCTGAAATATTACCTCTTGACTATATTCAGGTTATTTGAGTATGGGGAAGATGGCATAGGAATGTGTGGAAAGAGCATCTACAATAAAACAGTACGCAAGAGCAGGAGCGGTGTGCTGTGGTGGTATTTAACCGTCTCGTACCAGGTTTGCAGTTCCTAGTAGACTGCTGAATTCATGCCCTTGGAACTAGTGGAAGCTTACACAACATATAGATCTTTCTTTCTTTCTTTTTAATTGTAAATGGGCAAATTATAGTTGTATATATTTTAAGGAGTACAAAGAATGACATCATGGTTTACAAATACCATAAACATATCATCTGTATGTTAAACATCTCAAATACTTGTTTTTTGTGATGAGAACAATGAAATTCACTCAGTGATTTTGAATTCTACGTTATACTGTATTTACCACACTACCATATGTTACAAAGAAAAAAATATTCCCCTTGTCTAAATGAAGCTCTATATACTGGCCACTGTCTCCCTATGCCCCTCATCCCTTAACCTCATTCTACTCTCTGCTTCTGTGAGTTTGATTGTTAGAATTCCACAAATAAGTGAGAACATGTGGTATTTGCCTTTTCTTGTCTGGCATATTTTACTTAGCATTGTATTCTCTAATTCTAAAATCCATATTGTTGAAGATGACACAAGATTTCAATTTTCATGGTTGTATATATACATGTATTTTCTATATCTCTTCATCCTTTGATGGATACTACTATAGTCTGAATCTATAATGGCCCCCAAAGGCCCACATGTTAAAGGCTTGGTAACTAGGATGATGCTTTTGAGAAATGGTGGAAACCTTTAAGAGATGGAGTCACCTGGGCATCTTCTAGTCACTGAAGGTACGTTCTCAAAGGGGAAAGTGAGACTCCAGCCCTTTCCTGTCTTCTCTGTATTGCTTTCCTGGCCATGAGGTGAGTAGGTGTGTTCTTGCCTCACTCTCTTTTCATGATGTGCTGTCTCACCACAGACCCAGATGCAGCAGAGTCAAGCACATGGGCTGACACCTCCAAAACTGAACCAAAATAAGCCCTTTTTCTGAAATAAGATTTATTATTCCTGAATAAGGTTGATTATTTCAGTATTTGTTACAGTAACAGAATGCTGACAAACCCCCCCACACACACACCCACACACCCACACACCCTACTGTTCTGCTTAAAAACCATTCATTTTCTCCTGCTCCTCTTTTTAAACCATCACCAAGAAATTCTCTCTGAAACTTTTTTGATTGCTCAAAAAGTCCCAGCAGCATGCCGTCAACATTGAGATCTGAACCTCACTTTCAGTTTTCTCCCTTGATATCTTCCATGTGAATCTATGCTACGGCCACTCTTCACACTCCCCACCAGCTCCGATGCCCTCCTGTATGTGTCCTCATGTGGAATTGGCACCCCAGAGACAGACACAGTCCCAGTGTGAGTCAGCAGCTCTTCATCACCATGACCAAAATACTTAAGAGGAGGAAAAGGTAACTTTGTCTCATGGTTTCAGAGATTTAGTCCATGATCAGCCAACTTCATTGGCCAAAGGTGAGCCAAGACATCATGGCAGAAGGGCATGATGAAGAGAAGCTGCTCTGCTCATGGAGTTTAGGAGGCAGAAGGAGCCAGGGGAATAATTCCCAAGGGCATGCGCCCAGTGGCCTTCCTCCTCCAATCATGCCCCACCTGCCTACAGTTACCACTCAAATGAGAATGGACTGGTTAGGTTGCAGCTCTCCTAATCAAATTTCACTCTGACCATCACTGACTTCATCCAGGAATTTGGGGGGAAGCCTCATATTCCAAACCATAACAGTCCATTCAAAGGCAGTTGCCCACTCAACTTCTGTGGCTTTTTTCCATGCCCACCATAAGGCTCTTAACTCCACGACCTTCATCAACATGCCCCCATTGGGTGAAGCATCTGTCTTCCAAGTGTTCTTCAACCAAATATCCTTAAGATGTTTGAGCCACGGAGCTATTTTAAGAGTCCCAAAAGCACATGCACAGACTAATGAGGGCTCAAACATAAAAAATGTAACACCTCCTGCCCCTGAATAGCATTAGTGATCAGGTCACAGGCTGCCTAGATGAATAGGGTTTTCATTTGGGTCCCTCAGGCCAGCCCCTGGGGTCGTAAATGGAGGGCTAGGGCTAGGCCAGCTATGTAGGTGCTACATAGAGTGAGAGAAGTGACTTGAGATTTGAAACAGGATTGCACTTGTCATTCTGTTACTGCAAACTAATGGAAAGAAAAAGGCCTTACAGCAAGCTTTCTAAAGACACGATTAAAACAAAAAAGGTATAAGTCAGGGGCAGTGGTGCATGCCTATAATCTCAGCAACTCAGGAGGCTGAGGCAGGAAGATCACAAGTCCAAGGCCAGTCTGGTCAACTTAGGAAGACCCTGTCTCAAAATCAATAATTAAAAAATACAGAAGTCTGAGGATGTAGCTCAGTGGAGGAGTGCCCCTGAGTTTCAATCCCCAGCACCGCAAAAATAAACAAAAACAGTGCAAAACTTTACTATGGTGTGAAAGTAATACACATCCAGTAGAAACCATGCTTTGAAGTTTGAATTTTGATCTTTTCCAGAACTAGCAGTATGTGGTCTGATCCTCTCATGATGCTGGACAGTGGTTTGGGCTACAGCTCCCAGTCAGCCATGCAGTTACGAGGGGAACCCCTGGCACTCCACAGTGTGCCCTGCTGCTGAGATTGGATATTTGGTAGTTGATAATGCAGCCTCGATGTGTAATATTTCTAAGTTATGATGAGTTTGATCAGGACAGACTCCCATTTTAAATTGAGGAGCATCCGTATTCCTTTAGACTCTGGGAAAAATGTAATAACTTCCTTTTATTTTAATGAACCCAGTCTTTGTCAGTTAAGTATAAAATCAAATTCCACCTGAGTGTCCTTTGCAAGTCTTCAGCTATGAGGAAAATGCCACTCTCTGTGCCTATGGTCAAAGATAGAACTGGAACCTATCGCACCCAGTACCTTCTTTATGACACTTTAAATATGTTTTGAGAACCCCATACCCTCATAGTGGAGGAGAAAAGCAAAATTGTCAGAAGTTATGCTGTGCTTTGCACTGGATCTCTATAGGGTTGAACATCCTTTCTTCAGCTCATCTGCCTGTTCATCCTCCCCTCTTATTAGCTTTGTTGAAAAATAGCTGAGATTCTGCACTTCTTTGCCCATTGGAAATGCTCAGAGCAGAACAGAGTTTACTCTTGCTGGCTTTGTTGTGATGAAACATTGAGTTTAACTGAAATTAGGACCTCAGTCTTCTGCTCTGCTCCCCTTCTACTCCCCAATATACTCCAAGTGACAGGACAGCCATGAGAATGAGACTCCCATGTAATTCTGACTATAGAAAGAACTCAGGGGAGAAAGATTTCTGGAAAATACCCACTTGTCCCTTCTAGTGACATGCACCCAAAGAGAACAAACTTCTCATTTGGCTTGCATTGGGGACGTTGGCTCAGTTCTTTCTCAGGACTTTCAGGCAGCTAGTGGTCACCTATAAATGTTTCTCTGTCAGTGGGATATTACCTTGTCTATCTGCTAGAATCAGTGGTGTCAACCAGCCAGGTAACTAAATAAAAAGCGAGTATAAAGCAAACAGGGTCTAGCAATCCACTTGGACTTTGGCATGCGACTTTGAGTCTTTTCCCATCAGTCATCAAGCCTTTTAAATAAGTTTATATCTACTCATTTAAATAAGTTTATATCTACTCTTCTCTCCTAGAAGAGATGGTAAGGGAGAGCATTATCCCTGCCACTACTTGGAAACCCAAATATAATTGACCTCATGTTGGATATATTACACTTTCCAGCCTCTTTGCCTACAGTATCCTAACCACCTGTAAGATGTGAAGATGCATTCTGGATCAGAACCTCCAGGGTTCATCTCCTCATTCTGCTTCCATCAACCAGTGCCTAGACCCTACCATGTACCTGACAGAATACCTGACAGGCAAGGCTTGTGACAACCTGAGCTTGTATTCCAGTTGGCCCAGCCTGGGTCAGAACTCACTCTGGAGCCCATCACTGAGGCCACCAAGTTGAGGTGGCCATTCATCATTGGGGCTTCTGAAAATGAACCCCCAATCTGACTACCACCCACCTCTACTATCTCCCCCATGGTTTAGCCATTCCTCTCCTGAGACACATGCCTGAAAGCCTCCAATTTTATCTTCCTTTCCTCTTTTGCCCCTACCCTGTCTCTTTCTCAGTTAGCAGCCAGCATGGTCTTTCTGCACCAGAAGATCACACTACACTGTTGCCCCATGCTTCACCCTGCAAGGGTTTGCCTTCGTATCAGGAATGAAATTCAAAGAACTTGTAGAGGTCTACCAGGCCTGATCTGGCCTTACTCCCCTCTTTAATCTCAGAACTGCTTTCCTGCCCCACTTACTGTCCTTCCTCCTGTTTCCTCTCCATCTCTTCTCATGGTCCCTCTCCTAATTTCACTGAAATGACATCTCCTAATCACATGGATTCAGGGCTCTCTCCAAAGTGCCTGTACCTGACATGAACTGGGACATGAACTCCTCCTCATCTTTCTCCCAGTCCACCTGAGTCTCTACAACCTGAATTACCCTATTCAATGAGAGGACCTGAATTCATTTTCCAAACAAACAAATTAAAAAAAAAAAAAAAACAGACTGTTCACTTTAAACCTGATCCAACAAATGATCTGAATAGACACTTGTCAAAGGACAAAATACAGATGGCTAATAAATACATGAAAATATGTTCGATATCATTAGCCATCAAGGAAATGCAAATCAAAACCACAGTTATATATCATCTCACTTCAGTTAGAAAGGCTGTAATCAAACAAAATAAAAGTGCTGGCAAGGATGTGGAGGAAAAGGAACCCTGATATGCTATTGGTGGAACCGTAAATTAGAAAAGCCAGTATGGAAACCAGTATAGAGGTTCCTCAAAAAAACTAAAAAAGAGATCTGTCATATGGTCCAGCTATACCACTCCTGAAAACAAAGTCAGCATACAAAAGAGACCTGCAAAGCCATGTTTATTACAGCACTATTCACCACAGCTAAGATGTAAAATCAGCCTAGGTGCTCATCAACA